TCCCTCCCTCCCTCTCTAAAAATCAATGGAAAAAATATCCTCAGGTGAAAAAACAAAAACACATAGGTAGCAGAGAATCTGAAAATGGGCAGGAAAACCAGAGCGTAGACTAGAATTGCTAAGAGTTATGTAGAAACAGCTAGCAGGACAGCAGCAAAGTATCCAACCCTGGATATAATCATTTAGTAACCCAGAGACCTCCATCAATGAACCTTATAACAGATGTAGGACATAACACGCATATTTCTGTAACCATTTTAACTTTCCAAAGCTTTTTCATGTCTATCTCCACAACAACCCTGGTTGGCAATTAGAAGAGGTATTATGAAGTGCATCTGACAGATGGAGAAACTAAAAACTGAGAGTTTAACTAACCGCCTAGGGCTCACAGAGGGTGTGTGATACAGCTACACCTGGAGCCCGAGACTTTCAACTGGCAGCCCTTCACCTCTTCTACCAGAACACACTACTGTACACTGTTCAGGAACAAGCTCAGCACTACAATCTGGGTTAAGGGGCCAGCCTATGCAAATGGCTCATGTAGAAACTTTTCTTCTCCCTCTGCTCCTTCAGAACTCTCTGCACATAAAACGAACAGAGAGAAGAAATAGTGTTCTAATGATAAAATAAATAAATTTAAAAACAAACAAACCATGAAAAAGTGAGTTCTTAGCTTATGCAAATCTGAAAGTATTTGAGGATGCCAATGTCATTCCCAAAAGTAAAGTGGTCATAAAAGATTTAGAAAGAGCCCTGGAAACCAAAAAGCAAGCATCATCTTACACTTGTACAAAATCAGGGCAGCCACACCAGGAATACTGCACTCACTTCCTGCCGCCATACCTCAAGGAAGACAATGTAGCTAGAAAGGGTCGAGAGAAGGACAGATAAAATGACCAAGGGCTCAGCGTGGCTTTCACATGAAAATAAAACTTAAAATTAGCCTCCTCAAAGTGAAATAACAAGGGAGGAGGGAGAGAAACTGGGATGAAGTTTGGGATAAATTTAAAAGACCAGTCTTCTACTTTACAAAGCAAAGTAACTAAACCTCCAAGAAGTCATACAATCAAGTCAATTAGGAATTAAAGACATTTCAGAAAACAGAGTAAAAATGAATTATATGCTATAATTAGGGCAATAGAGAGCATTTCCCTAAATATCTGGTTTCACTATGGTCATCATAAGCTCTGAAATGAAAACCCTTAATATCCACAGAAGACAAAATACTGAGAATAGACAGTAAAATTAAGTCTATTCTTATGCCCCTGGCAAACTTTTTGGGTCACCAACACAGGAGGGAGGAAAACTCTTACCACCCGGTTCCACAGGGCACCCTGTTTACTTTGCATGTCTGGAGTAAGGCGGATATATTGGGTCATCACCATGGCGTTGCCCATCAGATTCCACAATGAGGAACTGCTAGTGCCCACACCTACAGGGAGGAAATATATCAGTTCACAGTCTTCAACACCAACACATTCAGAAAGCCACCACAAGGCACTCCAAAAGCTGGTTATCATCTTTCTTTCCCTTTCATGTCAATCTCCCACCTTCTATCACACATAAATCTTAAATCCTTACCATCTTTACAGCTTCCTTTCACAAGCCCTTCTGAGATGAAGACCCCAAAGCACACCAGAGCTGTTACTTTATCCATGCCACAGTGACCATAGCTCAGATCCATTCTCCCCTTTTTATATATGAGTAAATTGTAGCACCAAGAAAGAAAAAAATTCCCCAGTTAAACCAAAATGAGCTTGATCCTCAGGCCTCTGGGGCTTAATCACATTCTTTAAACAATCCAAGCATGGCTTTACCAGATACCTCAGACTATAAGCTTCTTGAGACTAAGAACTGTGTCTGTATAACCCACAGCATTAGCAGAGACCCACACAGAGGAGGCACTCCATGCATCTAAGTGAACAAATAATTACCCTTAGCAGTAGTGTATATTCTCTTGCACTTGAGGTTTGTGTTTGTTTGTTTGCTGTCTCCCTACCCACACTCCAGCGGGAATACAGACTTGTGTTGGTTACGCCATCTGCACTGACTTGGGTCCCTTTGCAGTCAAATATATATATTGCCTGGTTGATAACCTCTCCTGGAAGTCTGTGCACCCTAAAAAGAGCAAAGCTACCAGCCTCTTTCATCAATAGGGCTTCTGGACTGGAGAAGAACAGGTGTTTTAACCGGCAACAGAATTTTATCTTCTTTCTCAGCCTGGCCAAGTTCTACCCCAGCTCTGCCTCCTCCTTTATTTCTAGCACATCTACAGCTCCATCCGGAGATCCGCTCATTGTTACTGCTCTCCATCACTCGCCCCCATTCGCGGTCCCCTCCCCTTCCCATATTCCTCCTGTCCAACCCCTACGTTCAGGCCTAATAGCCCTAGAGGCTTCCGAGAACGCAGTTACGACCTGCGGGAAACATCAGTGCGGGGCAGGGGGTGGGAGAGAGGCTGACCCCTGCCCTTCCGACCCGTAGCTCCCAAACGCCGCGGGAGTCCCCGGGGGCCCCCACCCAGCGCCAGCAGCTTCCGGGGCACTAAGCCCACGCCGTCCACCTCTAGCGAGGGGCTCAGGTCCCGAAGCCCGCCCCGAGCACGACCACCTCGTCCGGGGCGCCTCACCCAGGTAGGGCTTCGACAGCGAGTGCTCCCGCTTCAAGTACTCGAACGTCTGACCCGCCCCGACTTTTCGGGGCCCCTGCCCAGATCCCAACAAAAGGAGGAGGAGCAACATCCTGGACCCATCCCGCGCCGACAAACGCCGCCACCGCAGCCACCACCCCGAGGGGTCCGGAGTGGCCGCCATCTTTCTCACCACTGTCCCTTCACCAAAAGTCCGCCCCATCTCACAAGCCATTGGCCCATGGAACTACCTGCCTCGCGTCCCATTGGCTGTCGTCGATTCCCCGCCCCCGCAGGTGAGCATTTCACCGATTGGCTGGCTTGGAATCAGTTGCCTTGCCAACCCAGACAGGGGGCGTGGCCAAGTGCCTGGACTCCCTGCTTTGCAATTGTCCCGAGCTCCGCTAGGCCTGCTGGGATACGTAGTGATTTCCATTTTGTCTCCGCAAGCTAAAGAAAATTTAAAGAGACGAAACGTTTCTTCTGTGACCTAGAGTCAGTTTAAACAGATAAAACGTTCCTTCCTGTTCCACGCAAACGTTCTGCCTTCTCTGCCATAGCGCCCTCTCCTCTGTGCGGATCAATCAGGAGGATAGAGAACTGAAAGGAGAAATAGACAAATACACAGTTGAAGTAGCTGGGAAATTGTCAAGAAAATTAGCAAATTTATAAAAAGACTTGAGCAGCACTACCAAACAACTTGACCTTATGACATTAATAGACACTCCACCCAACAACAGCAAAAGACAGGTTCTCTTCAAGGGCAAAAGAAACATTTGCCAAGATAGTGTGGGTCAAAACAGCAAAACCCACGAAAACCTTCGCAAATTTAAAAGAATTGAAAGCACATAAAGGATGTTCTAGCATGACAGAATTTGACTACACATCAATAACAGAAATATTTTGGGGAAATCCCCAAATATTTGGATATTGAGCAACTAACTTTTAAATAACCCAGGAGGGAGCAGGAGGTACTGGAGGACTTAAGCAAGTCCTCTAAGAAATGGAACAGGGTAACCAACCCTTTACCTGGGTAGAGCAATAATACACGCTGTCCCCAAAGCCAAACAGGTGAGTCATCCCAGTTTCTCCTTTTCTCACCAATTCCACCATGCAACCAATAATTAATCAAGTCTTGATGACTGTATTCCTATTCTGCAAAGCCATCGAGTCCTGCCCATCCTCCAAGTTCTCTGGAACCACAACATGTGTCCCTGGTATTGTTCTGGCCACCATCATCCACATGGCCACCCAACGGATCTAAACAATCTACCATGCCATTTTCTCAGTGTCGAGGTTAAATAAGTCAAAATTGGTAAAGCTCTTAAGAGTAATGCCTGGCACGTAATAAGCACTATATCATTATCATCATTATTATTAACAGAATCCTTTTAGGGTGACCATCACCTGTAGGGAAGAGATTCAGTCCCCTTAACTTGGCACACAAAGCCCTCTGCCACTGGCCCTGGCCCTCCTCTGGCCGTATTGCCCACAGCTCCCTCCCTCCATCGATATGCTCCAGTTTCCCTCCTTCCCTCTCCTTTTCCCCAGCCCACTCCTCCTGGAGGTCTTCGTTGAGTCCCTCAGGTAGGAGCAGGTGCCCCACTCAGAGCAATGTGTCCCAAGCACGTTTCTTACAGATCACTTGCCAGATCTGTTTCTCTGTCTTCCCAATAGACTTAACTAAAGTTAACTCTTTCTCTCCTAAGGATAAATATACTTAATAAGAAAAACATGAATACAAGCCTGTTTTACAGGGGATCAACTTTTTAAAATTAAAGTTGTCACAGCCATTAATCTTTAACACACTCCACGCAGAGCAGATGTTTGGTGATAAGACATTAGAAATTCCAATGACTTTATTCCTTGTCACACCCTCACTTTAAAACCATTCATGGCTCCCAATTACCATAGAATAAAATCCAAACTCCTTAGTGTAGCATTCAAGGCCTTTCACAATCTGGCTCAAATCAGGCTACACACGTCTATTACAGTGTGTCACCCTGAATTATGTTGCTCAGTTAGCAGATTATGTGTTTGTCTCCCTGGCAAGGCTGGGAGCTCCTGGACTGCAGGAAGCAGGTCTTACTCATTTTCTATTCCAGGCCCCACCCACTTCCCCCTCTCCCTAACCAATCACCCAGCATGTAGTAGGGGTTCTAATTGTTTTGAATAAAATTATTTCCATTTTATTTCTATGTCAGCTGGAATTTTTATTGTGGTAAAAATATACATTATTTAAAATTTACCATTTTAACATTTTTTCCCCCCAATCCTCACCCAAGGATACATTTTCACTGCTTTTTAGAGAGAGAGGAAGGCAGAGAGAGACAATGTTCCAACCAACTGAGCCACCTGACCAGGGCCCGTTTTAACCATTTTTAAGTATATGTTTCAGAGGCATTAGGGCATTCATACTGTTGTACAAGCTGTCAGCTGGATTTTTGATAGCTTACCTCAGCAGATCTCTCATTGTAAAATTCATTATGATAAAGAAAAGGGGGAAGAGTATGAAAGACAAAATGCACAGGACAATAAATTCAATGATTTTATTCAGACTCTTGCAATAGGGAGAGTGCTCGTTAATGAAGAACGTATCAAAGAAAAGAAGGTGGCTGCTATGAGGCAGATCAACAAGGGAGTGTGAGGAAGGATAGAGAGGGTCTTATCTGAGTCATTGGGGAAAGGTGGAAGTGGGTCTTATCTTGGAATATTCTTTTAAAATCAGCCATTTCTCAGAATTCAAAATGGGGTGTGGGGGGCACAGAAGGGTAGGGGGATTTCTTGATTGTGTCTGCTTTCCAGAAGTATGGGGTTCAGATAAAGCTCAGTACTGAAAAGGTGTTGAGGGGAGGTGGAGGAGAGAAAAAGGAGCCATGCCCCCTCCAACACTGCTCTACTCACACCCAGAGGTACCTTCTGAAAGCCCGGTCAGGTCTAGGCCTACCATTCTTTCAGCTACTTAATATTCCTCTTTTTCTCCCTGGAATCATCGCCCATGATCTAGGGCTGCCCACCTCCAGCACGTGGGACATTTATACACAATGTGAGTTGTGCATTCCAGCAGTTCTGGGTGTTTCCTCTACTTTCCTGTCTTCAAAGCCAGACAGGTACCTTCACTTAGGAGCAACATGAAGGCTGATGCCCACGCCACCCTCGATGACAGAGGCTCCAAGGCAGCCTTGTGACCCCACCTTTTCCTCTCCCTCCCACACTTCACTTTGAAACCAAGTCATTCCTTTTAAATCCACCCTTACCCCCAACCTGGGACCCAAAGCAGAGCCTACCAGTAGCCCTCCTAAAGCCAGGTAGATCATTCCTCCCTCCTCAGGGATCCAGTTTGGACCTTGTGGTTGGGCCCGTCTTCATCCCTAAGGTCTAAGTTGATCGGGCCCCACTTTCAGAGTTCTGAGCAGACCCTAGAATATAGAAGGGGACAGTAGCTCTGACGCTGACTAGCTACTTTACAGTGTGATTTACAAATTCTGACCTCCCAACAAGTCAGAATTAAACAGCCTGGAGTGGTTTGACACACCCAGATACTTGGTTCCCACTTCCAGACACCTGATTCATAGGTCTGGGGTAGGGCCCAGGGGTTTGGTTTTGAAAATCTCCCCCCCAGAGAGTTTGATGTGCAGCCCATTCTCACAGCCACAGCACTCTCACATCCAGGATCTCATTTCAACGTCACAAGGTCTTGGTGTGGTGGGCACCTGTACACTCAGTTCAGAGAGTGAATTTCAAACAGGGTACAGCATCTGAGTTGAGAGAGAAGATTTAGAGATTTGCTTTAAAATAGTCTAGGGGAAAGTTGTGTGCGTGTTGGGGGGGAGTGTAGGGTAGATGAAAAAAGGCAGTGGCAGGATGTGGATCGATGTTGAAGCTGGGCGGGTACCTGGGGAGTCCCTCTAGCTCTGTGTGTGTTCGAGGGTTGCCATAATGAAAAGCTTTTCACAGTCTCCCTTGGAGATGATTAGGAAATATGCTGGGTATGCATTTGTGGTGTTTTCTAAACTTCCCCTGAGAAATGAAAACTGTAATTAACTATAATCTAGTAAAGTTCATTGTGACCCATCCAATATAGCGTTGTCATAACTGAAAAGAAAAGCGTCTGCAATCTAGAAGAACAGTTAAGGGAAGGGAATATGTCAGAGCATGTCAATTCCGCCCAGGGGACAAAGTATTTCTAAGTGTCCCATGTTGGTTGTTCAAATCAAGTCTGCTCTCCTAACGCCTTAGGAAGGACTTCCCACTGAGCATTCTAGCTCTCCTAGCAGTTTAATATCTCAGTGTATCAAGGAATTAGTATTAGCATACTATTTTATTGCTGGTGTTAGTATATTAATTCAGAAATTAGCATTTGGGTTTATCACTTACTTACTTGTTTAGTCAGTGTGACTTACCTTCCCCAACCTGTTTACCCTTCAGTGAATCGATAAAAATCAATGCCCTAAGGACCAGATTGCAGATCTGTGGTGACTGATGAAGTGGCAGAAGTCCCACAAATTAGGAACTGTTTCTAGGCATCTAGATGCCTGCTTGTCACAGAGTTGGGGCAACGGGTTCACCAAGAATTGCAGAATGGATGGGCAGGAGGGAGGAGAATTCTGGCATATTTGAGTTGGAATGAAAATATCTGCCCTTTTGAGACCCGGCTCTACTGTATGACCTTGGGCACCTTACCTAATCTTGCTGAACCTCAAATTCCGTCTGTAAATTGGGAGTGATGACACCTACCACACTGGATTGTTGCGAGTCATCTCGGGAAAGATTGCATAAGGAATGCACAGGCATACTGTGGGCTCTAGAGAGTTCTGTTAGTACCCAAATTACTGTTGTTTGTACAGCTTTTTTAGGCTTGCTTGCTGGTGTTCTGAAATGTTTGGGAAAGTGGGTTTGGTCCCTTTGGAAGAAAGTACATGTGTCAGAGTAGGTTTATAAATGAAGTAGAAACCACTGGTTCACTTGAGGATATCATTCAGGGATCTGGGGTAGGAAATGTGTAATGTGCAAATCCTATCACTGGGGTTTAGAATTAGAAATATGATAGCTCTGGCTGGGTGGCTTAGTAGGTTGGAGTGTTGTCCCATATGCCAAAATACTGCAGGTTCGATTCCCGGTCAGGGCACATAACCTAGGTTGCGGGTTCGATCCCCAGTTGGGGTGCACACATATGGGAGGCAAACAATCGCTGTTTCTTTCTCTCTCTCTCTCTCTCCCTCTCCCTCTCT